GCAAACAGTACCTCTACCTTCCGTTGCCATTCAATCCTCCCTCCCCAATCTCCAATCCTCCTCTCCACGTTCCATTCCGTTCGATCACAAACAGTCCCTCCGCCCTCCGTTGCCATCCAATCCTCCCTCCCCGACCTCTAATCCTCCTCTCCACGCTCCATTCCGNTCCATTCCGTTCGATCACAAACAGTCCCTCCGCCCTCCGTTGCCATCCAATCCTCCCTCCCCGACCTCTAATCCTCCTCTCCACGCTCCATTCCGTTCGATCGCAAACAATCCCTCCGGCCTCCGTTGCCATTCAATCCTCCCTCGCCGATCTCAAATCCTCCTCTCCACGCTCCATTCCGCTCCATCACAAACAGTCCCTCCGCCCTCCGTTGCCATTCAATCCTCCCTCCCCGATCTCAAATCCCTCTCCTCTCCAAGCTCCACTCCGTACGATCACAAACAGTCCCTCCGCCCTCCGTTGCCATCCAATCCTCCCCCTTTGATCTCCAGTCCTCCTCTCCACGCTCTATTCCGTTCGACCGCAAACAGTCCCTCGGCCTTCCGTTGCCATTCAATCCTCCCTCCCTGATCTCAAATCCTCCTCCTCTCCACACTCCATTCCGTTCGATCGCAAACATTCCCTCCGCGCTCCGTTGCCATTCAAATTTCCCTCCCCGATCTCGAATCCTCCTCCTCTCCACGCTCCATTCCGTTCGACCGCAAACAGTCCTTCCGCCCTCTGCTGCCATCCAATCCTCCCTCCCCGATCTCCTTTCCATAATCATTCCCCCAGCTCCTCCCTCTACTCTTCCCATTATACTTTGCGAACACCTCTACGCTTCGTCCAACTGACCCAATCCCGCTCATTCCCTCTTCATTGTGCACCCGGCATTAGGCTGCGGCTATATACCGCCCTCCTCCCCCTCTTCTGTCATCACATCTACGCCAACTGAGAATCTCCCTCCATCTTGCCCCGCCATTTCCCATCCTCCCTAATCTTTCGGATCGCAATCCGAATCCTTTACTTTCCTTGCCTACACCTCCCCGCCCTCCGTTCTCATTTCCATCTTCCCTCAACTATACGCTGATCGCAAATAGTCCCTCTGCCCTCCTTTGCCATTCAATCCTCCCTCCCCGATCTCCCTTTCATAATCATTCCCCCAACTCCTCCCTCTTCTCATCCCATTATACTCCACGAACACCTCTAGGCTTCGTCCAACTGACCCAATCCCGCTCATTCTCTTTTCATAGTTCACCCAACATTAGGCTGCGGCTACATAGCCCCCTCCTCCTTTCTTGTCATTGCATCTACGCCAATCGATAATATCCCTCCATCTTGCCCTACCAGTCCCCATTCTCCCAGTCTCCCGGATCGCATTCCGAATCCTCTACTCTCCTCGCTCACATTTCCCCGCCCTCTGTTCTAATATCCATCTTTCCTCGAATATGCGCCGATCATATACTCTGTGAACACCTCTGGCTTTGTCCAAATTGATCCAACCCTTCTCGCCTACGTGCCCTTGCCCTTTGTTTTCTTTCAATCTTCCTTTTCGCACCTAGTCGATCACGGCTGACTATCACATTCTCTGAACCCCTCCTCTTCTGCCACTCATTTCCCTCGTCCCCGTCCAATCATCCTGCGGGATAGTCCCGTCCCCACTTCGAGTTCCTTCTCTTAGTCATACGAATGCTTTCAGGCTTTGATCACAACTGACCTCCCTCTTATCACCATCCCTTTATAGCCCCCCCGTCATCTGTTTGGTGTTCCACCCCGATCTCCCTTTCATAATCATTCCCCCAACTCCTCCCTCTTCTCTTCCCATAATACTCCACGAACACCTCTAGGCTTCGTCCAACTGACCCAATCCCGCTCATTCTCTTTTCATAGTTCACCCGACATTAGGCTGCGGCTACATAGCCCCCTCCTCCTCCTCTCTTGTCATTGCATCTACGCCAACTGATAATATCCCTCCATCTTGCCCCACCAGTCCCCATTCTCCCAGTCTCCCGGATTGCGACCCGAATCCTTTACTCTCCTCGTTCACATCTCCGCGCCCTCCGTTCTAATATCCATCTTTCCTCGAATGTACGTCGATCATATACTTTGCGAACACCTCTGGCTTTGTCCAAACCGACCCCACCCTTCTCGCCTTTGTGCCCCTGCCCTCCGTTTTCTTTCAATTTTCCTCTTGGAACCTAGTCGATCACGGCTGACCATATCACGTTCTTTGAACCCCTCTTCTGCCACTCATTTCCCTCGTCCCCGTTCAATCATCCTGCGGGATAGTCCCGTCCCCACTCCGAGTTCCTTCCCTTAGTCATACGAATGCTTCCAGGCTTTGATCACTACTGACCTCCTTGTGATCACCACCCCTTTATAGCCCCCCTGTCATCTGTTTGGTGTTCCACCTGCCTCTCAATTACCACATAACCTGTCCCGACCAATATAATCTATTGTAATCGATAATGAAGCACTCAGATTCTTGACAGAGAAAACGAAAGTTCAAGGGATACAGACTACGGAAACACAAAGGGTTGACGACAAAGAAAAGCAGGTCATTGTCTGAAAATATCCAGAGGAAAAAGTGGCAGAGTTGGACGATCTGCATGAAAGACACGGCGTGGTGTTTAATTTTGCACGCAACGGAGCGGACCTCCAACCGACAAAGAAGAGAAAAAGGGTCATAGAGGCAATTAAGAAAGAACATAACGAAGCACTCAAATTCCTGATAGAGAAAACGAAAGTTCAAGGTGTACAAACCACAGAAACACAAAGAGTTGACGACAAAGAAGAGCAGGTCATTGTCTGAAAATATCCGGAGGAAAAAGTGGCAGAGCTGGACGATCTGCGTGAAAGACACGGCGTGGTGTTTAATTTCGCACGCAACAGAGCGGATCTCCAACCTGCAGAGAAGAGAAAATGGGTCATAGAGGCAATTAAGAAAGAACCGAAACTGAAGCAAATTGGAGACTTTCACTCTGCAGATTCTGGGCCGGAAGAACATTATGGCATTGTTTATTCATGAAGAACACGCATGGCTCGCAGTCGACATGCAATCCAGAAATTGCAATGGGTCAGTCTGCACAATCACCAAATGGAAAAAACAGACTGCACAAAAGTAGAACCCAGGGTTTATGGTATCTTACAAACAAATTCTTCTAAAGGAAAACTTCTGGGTTAAATTCGACAATATCCAACCGGGATTCCATGGTCTACTGGTGGATAGGCTAGAGAGACAGTGTACAACAAACAGGATCCTCAAATGGATCTTGCCAACACCGGAATTCCTGGCACCGCACTGTGGTACCATGACGGCGGTGTTGGATGTCAAGACAGACGACCCTCCGGTATTCCCACCGACTTGGAAATTCCAGATCGAAAACAGAGTTGTAGAAATCAAGGGCTCGACCAGGACCTCTCCGATTTGTTTCCGGTGCAGAGAGCGGGGGCATATGGGTCAAGATCCCAATTGCCCCAAGTATCCGAAACAGTCAAAAGAGCACAAACTACTCCCCAATATGCTGGTGGAAGTGTAGTATGCCCCAGGTATTTGGTTCATCGCTGATTCCAACTACAATGGGTGGGTGTTCGATGACAACCTGGAGGAACCAGACTGGGTCTGGCACTACGCTGATCTGGTGCCGTCAGTCAAAAAAACCAACATCTTCCCCCCTGCAGACAACAAATGGCAACGAAGATTAATACCGACCCTCTCATCGATTTTCGGGTTATCAGGGAGGAAAAGGCTCGGGAAGACTTACTGTGGGACTTGGATGCGGTCAGGGAACAAATCGTACAAGAGTTCAATAAACAACCAACCTCCTTGCGGGCCATATTGAAGAACCTTGAACAAGCAACACTTTGTAAGAAGGACATAGCACACTCGGATAACAAACGCACACTGAACAATGTCGACGTGCATGAGACCACGGAGGGAGGTCTCAAGAAACGGAAGGCAATGGACACAGAGGGGAGGGAGGGAGCGATACAGACGTCCGTCGAGGAGGTCAAAAAAGGCAAGACGCTAGATTCTCGGGATCTTGGAACAGGAAGTGTGGCAGACGAAAGCAACAATGAAATAGGGGGATCAACCACAAACAGTGAAAATGGCTCCCAACGTTCCCTACAGTGGCTCAGAGACTATGTTGAGAAGGTTAAAAGGGATAGGGAGCACGCTTTCGATATCTAGGTAGCCTACCTGAAGCACACAGAAAGATCCCAAAAGAGTGGCAAGTGGGGGACGATCGATGGCATAGGGAACTCCAACAACCAATTTGAAGCACTCCGTAAGGAAAAGGTTGAGGAGTTTTCTCAATACACAGCTTTTCGACACACTGAAAAGAAGAGGGCAAGAGATTAGGGAGTAACGGGCAAGGATAAGACTATCCCAGACACCAGATCTGCGCCCAAAAAAGTGGCAGTCGGGAAAGAATGAGAAAAAGAAAGACCTCGACGCAGAGCAATTGGGAACTGAAGAGGAATCAAATCGTACTCTTCTGGAAAAGGAAGCAGCAGTGGTGGTAGCCCAAATAGAAAAATTGAAAAAATTGAACGAGGAATACACCCCTGAATTCGTCACTATTGCACACATTGCCAAGGATGAGGCTCCGTTGGTGGTGGAAACGGAAAAGTCATCACGTCTGACACTGATGAACATCCGCCCGTTGATTGCTGCCAGGTATGTGGAAAAAGTGGGGGAATGGCAAATTGCCGCTGATGTATCATTTCAGATTCCAAGGTTTGAGGAAGACTAGAATGTGGCCGAGATCGTCCGACAGACGGTTACGGTGGAGATTCCGTTGGGCATCTTTGAGACTGTCCCCGGAGAAACGAACTGGGAGGACACACTCTCCCAAGTCGACCAGGACGATCACCCGACACAACGCATGGATTATGGAAGGCACTCCCCCCAGGTTTTCTCACCCTTCATTGTCAAGATGTTGGAGACAATACAATTTAGAACAGGAATGAGATCGAGACCTTGAAAAACTGTGACAACAGTTCCATACAGTGTTCTGTCGGGTCCAACTATCACGGCGGAACTGGCGGCAGTGTTGGTTGCTCACCTCGTCTCCACAGGGATGTTGGACGGGGATGAGGACCTAGATGCAAGGGCATACTCTATTGATTGGGAAAGATTTTACAAAAGTGATTGTTCGGATAGTGAGTCGGAGCAGAAGAATGCAGATGATGAGAAGGAAGACGTGGGGTTGTGCTCAAATCTGAGAAAGGGCAACTGTGATAGTGAGGGACCGTACAAGATAGACGATCCAGACGTAATGTCGCCCCTGGAGAAGGGACAAGACACGCCCAGGCCCACTTCTGGTGACGAACCAGTGGGAATGGACACGGGCGTGCCGGCCCCCCTGTAGAGCTCCTACCTTCAACACCATGAATGAAAGCCGCCCGTGATAGCTGCGAGGATGGAGGAGCTAAGAAGAGTAGCGAATAAAGGGGCGGAACAAAAAGACTGGAAGTATCACGGGATTATTATCCGAAGCTGGAACATCAATGGGTTGGGTAATATCGTAGACAAAGAAGACAAACTGAACGACTTAATCAAAGGTCTGGTAGTACACAACAATAAAATAGCTGACATTATAATGTTACAAGAAACCCATCTTACCCTCTCGGCTGAACATAATAGAATTCGGACTTTCTTAGCAACGATACTAGGAGGTATCAAAGATGAGATATGGGTTGCAGATAGTGTATTGAGCACGAAAGGGACAACCATTCTGGTCCCCAAATCCTCTCGTATCTACACGGTAGGAAGGATCCTAGAAAAAAAAACCGACCCTAGTGACGGAAGATGGTGCCTCGTGCACTTCAAATAGATAGAGGAAGAGTTTGTATTGATCAACGTCTACGCTCCAAATGATTCATCCGAGAGGACCACCTTTGCCGCCAATCTAAGAAGAAAGATTCCCTCGCTCTCAACTTGTGTTGTAGCTGGCGATTTGAACGCCACGATAGATCCCTCCACAGACCCTATATCAAGGTCGTCCAACTCACCTAACACACAAGAGGCTATACCAATCCAGAAATTGATGCTAGATCACAGCCTGGTAGAACCGTATAGAACTCTGCACCCTACCAAAAGGACCTTCACACTAATAAAAAAGAATCACGCTCATCACACTGCCTTCTCATTCATAGATTACTTCTTGGTATCAGAGACAATGATGGGGGCGGTCAAAAGTGCTGAAATTCTACCTCTTGCACCATATTCAGGCTTGGACCATAAGCCGATTGAGCTAATAATCAGCTTTGAGCATTTTATGAGAAAATGGGCCAGTTTTTACAAACTAAACAACTCTATCCTATTGAGTCAGATTTTTCATGGCGGGGTATGTGACTGTTGGCAAAACCAGAGAGCCACATGCTTGCCCATTCATGATCGATGGAAGTGGTTCCAAGAGAGCTACTCCAATCTCTCCCAGGCAATGGCAAAAATCTCAAGGAAGCTAGCTACCATGAGAAAACAAAGGAGACAAACCTTGGAATCGGCCCTAAAGATCGTTGAGACCAACCTGATTGACAACCAGATTGACAACCCCTCGTCTTCGCTATACTCCGACGTCCTTGAGAAAGCATGTGAGGAATTGGCTTTATGGAGATAGTGGGACCTAGAAGGACTCCAAATAAGAGCCAGAATGAACGAATACGAGCTCAACGAATCAATGTCGAAACAATTTTTTGCCCACATCAAAGCCAACTCGAGAGCGAGTACTATAGAGAGTTTGAAAACTCTCACAGTCCCAGAAGAGACAGTATCACATAGTGAAGGAATGCTAGAAGTAGCAAAAAGATTTCTACCAAGAGCTCAATTAGGCCAAAACCCCGACACCCACTCCACCCGGCACAAGGGAAGCAAGACAAAGGATGTTACAATACCTGGAACAAACGATAACAATCGAGCAAGCGGAAGCGTTAGACAAACCACTCACTTCGGAAGAACTATATCAGGCACTCGAGAGTATGAACAATGATAAATCACCAGGGATTTATGGGTTAACGAAAGAATTATGGGAGAAATTCTGGCCACTCCTGGGTGGCAACTTGCTAAACTTCTTCAACGACAGTTGGGCGAAAGGGGGACTAGGAAGCCTCCTAAGTAGTAGCGTGGTCACTCTGCTATACAAGAAGGGAGATAAAGAGGACATCAAGAATTGCTCCTTACTCTCCCTTACAAGACCTTGGCCAAAGCCTTATCTGCTAGAATCATGGAATTAACAGATAAGTGCTTCCATATCGACCAAAAAGGTTTCATTTCGGGGAGGTACATACTGGACAACGTATTGACTCTAAATGAAGCGGCCAATAAGGTATGAGAAAAGAGGTTAAACACAACCATCCTTTTCTTCGACTTTGAAAAGGCGTACGATCAAGTGAACTGGACCTTCCTAGACGCAAGCATGGAGAAGATGGGAATGAGACCAAACTTTAGGAAATGGATACGCATCTTGTACAATGATGCTACAGGCTGTGTACAGGTAAATGGCTTGTTGTCTGAATGTTATCCAATTTCCAGATCAGTCTGTCAAGGAGATCCGCTAGCTCCGTCGATCTTCCTGTTCGTAATGGAAGCTATTGCGTCATTCTTACGCAAGGACCCGTCCATGCACAGACTCCCATAGGTCAATGTGGGGTCAACCCACCATATGAAGTTCCCGACAGTAATCATGTTCGCACATGACCTTACTGTCCTGATCAGAGTCTCAGACTCCTCATTCAGAACTTTGGCTAGAGCCATGGAAGCTTTCAGATTGGCCTCAGAGATGAGGATCAACTGGAAAAAGACGGTAGGATGGTGGCTATCAGACGAGGACCTCCCTCATATGCAAGGGCCTGGGGCCGCCATGACGTGGGAAACGCCGAACACCCCGACCCGCTACCTTGGTATCCTTATGACGATGGAGGGTCTGGCGCCCCAAATGGCACAAAATGTCTTGACAAACCAAATTAATAAACTAGGGAGATGGGGGAACACTTTCACCTCAGTAATTGGTCGAGCCCTAGTTCTCAACACATCAGTGTTCTCTATGATGTGGTATATAGCCTCAATCTGGACAATACCAGATAGCTCGATTAAGGAACTTAACCGCAGAGCAAGGTCCTATTTATGGACGGGGAACCCCAACAAAGAGGGTTGTATTCCTAAGATTGCTTGGCAGTATATCACGAGAAAACCGTTGCATGGGGGTCTAGACCCTAGACAGGAAACAAGGGCCCTCCAGGTTAAATGGATAATCAAGCTTCTGATGAAGCCTGACAACTCATGGAAGAAACTAGCTTTAGATCGCATTAGAGCGTTGGTGCCAGTGGCCTCACCAGAAAACATGACAGGTCTGTTCTGGGTAATGACCAAGGAATGGAGGCCCAAGACAGGGTGGAGAAAACCAATAAGAGGAACTAGAGCTGAGGAAGCCACTCGTCCCACCTCATACTGGACAACTCTGATTCGGATATGGAGAGAAATTCTACCAAAGAAGACTAATAGACAAAGGTCCAAAGACAAGGTTCTGAGACAACCGCTGTTCGACAGTCGATGGGTTACAGACGAAGGCGATAATCCCCTGCATTTAGATCACAGATGGCTATCATGGGTCAAGAATGGGGTATGGAAAGTAAGTCACCTATGGAGTGAAGAAAGGAAAGAGTGGGTAACTGAACAGGAGCTGATCGCGCAGTTGAAGGGATGTCATAGGCGAGGTTCTAACCTCCAATACATTATTACCCTCATCCCTCAAGACTGGAAAGATATCTTGTGTGAAGCGTCGCCGTGGAAATCTGGAGAGTGGGGGGTTAAGATACAAGAGTCCCCTCCCTCACGAGCCTTTCAATTCTCCCACATGCAACCGGGTTCGACCACCACAACATTCTTCTCCTCCTTCCCAATTTCCCCTTATAAACATGGAATAATGTCTATATTAAACAGAGAGGTGGAATCAGTATTCATGGACTTTTTTCTACTTAGGAAGGTAAGAGTACTAGGGTCGTGGCCTAAACCAATCTTCAGACCAGACATGCCAGTCCAGAACCTGGAATTGGACTCGACAGAATGGGCCTGGACACCGGACAGGGAGAGGAATGTCAAGTCCAAGGTCCCCATGTACGACTAAACAGTTAAATTCGGCTACAAACTCCTAGTTAAAACAAGAGACCCAAATCCTATAATCAAAAACAGATGGCAGAAACTAGTAGGTCAGGAAGCCGATAAAATTGCACAGATGCCGCGGAAGAAATTTAAGACTATCAGACCCATAAAAATCGGGAGCGTCCAGGAGCGTCCAGTGGCTCGTTACGTACGCAGCACTGCCTGTGAATCAATGGCTACATATAAGACGTCAAGAAAACGATCCCACCAGTTCGGACCTATGCATAATCTGTGCAGAAGGGGCTCAAGAAGACTCCCTAATCCAATGTAGCGAGGAGACAAATTACTGGGCACAGGCCTCAACCCTCTGGATTCCCTGTTCCATGCCCCCTTCCTCGAGCACCCCATCCAAATCCTCCTCGGGACTAAGATCCCCGATCATATTCACAAGACAGAGAGGTTGTGGTTCGGGCTGATCGAGAAAGTGACTCTATGGATCATGTGGAAGGAAAGATGCTCCAGGACTATCGAAGGACTGTCCAACCCAAGAGAGAAGGTGTGGGCGGAGACAAGATCTATGCTACAGGCTGAAATTCTCTGCAGAAGGGAGTGGTTGAAATTATCGATGCCTGAGGACGAGGACCAGCAATAAAGGTTAGGAAGAAGTTTACCAGACAGTGGCTGGTGAATGGTAAGGTGGCCGAGTTACGTAATGACTGAGTGTGCTGGAAGAAAGACTAGCACAATTCAGAAGCAGGCTGGAGGCCCCAGACCACACCCGCAGCGGGTGGGCTGATGAGCTGAAGGGAGAAAGGGGCCACATTAGGTACCAGGCATCAGGTATGAGAACAAAGATATGGTTAAAGGACTTGTAAAGTGGGGACTAGGAGGAGGAGACTTCGCTCAAACCCAGACGCTGTGAAGACTGTCTCAGACAGGACAAGCAATCAAAAGGGAATCCATAACGAAACTCGAAGGTCAAGGACCAAAGGTTGAGGACGCAAGAGGTGAAGCAAAATTGAAATCTAAGGCCAGGATAGGGTAAGCTGACGAGAATATAGACTTACCACATACCCAGGATGGAACATACGGTATTCTTCATTAAGGAAAGGATAGGTACCGTATAAGTCGTGGATATGGAAGTGAGGTCACATAAGTGGCTATGGACCACAGTTTACAGGTCGCTGCCAATGGAAGGCTAGTAGAGAAGGTATACCACTTAAACGAATAGGGGAAGGGCTAGGCTTAAAGGGGTTAGCCAGCCGGTAGCGACTCGAGGGTTTAGGGTTTTAGCCAGCCGGTTCAAGGTAGCAGAGGTTAGGCCTACTTTTACGTAATGTAAATAGGGGTAAGGCAACTTGGTAGACAATAGGCGGTCTTTTTGGGGGAGGCTGAGGGGTGGGAGTGGTCGTTGCTGCTAAGGGCCTTTCTTGGTTTCTCATTTGTAACTGACTGGTTCCTTCAGTGGGCCTGAGAGGAAAGGGTTTAGCGGGGCAAGTTGACGGTCAATCCTCCATATACATGGAGTAATCAATGCTGGTCAGGGGTCCTTCAGCCGTACGGAAGGAAGTGTGTGTGACGTGTTGATGCTGTATTATTGTTTTGACTTGCCGGTGGAATAGGAACCAGACTGACGCTCCCGAGAATGGAAACGGAGCCAGGGCCATACAAAAAAGTGCAAATTTCTGAAGAAAAGAAAAAAGAAAACAAGAAAAAAGAAAGAATAAAATAAAAGAATATGTTGAACCTTGTAGTGACAGTGGCAATTGGTTTATCAGTGGGGTGCATCATTTGCTTTCTTCCCTTGTCTTTTCTTTGATTGGATCCCTTTCTCTTTCTCTTGCCTCTGTGAGGTTTGGTTTCCTCCTCCTTTTCTTTACCTCTTTGCCTTTTGGCTGCGTGCAACTGGGTCCTTGTGACACACGGGGATGGGGGCAGCCAACGTAACCTGTCATCCACGTGGCTGGCCTTGTACGTAAGAGGTGATGAACAAGTGGGGCTTTCCTTCTTTTCCTTTCCTTGTTTCGCTTTTTTTTGCCTTCGCGCTTTGATTTACAGTATGACAATATATATATGTGGGACTGGTCATCCGGGTTTTGGTATGACATCCTGGCTGGTCTTGTCCCGTCGTTAGGCCTGTAGTTGCCGGGGGCGGTGTTTGCATGTGGGACTTGGTCATCTAGGATTGTCACGGTCATCCGTTTTTTTTTTTTTTTTTTAATTGTCTTGGGGCATCCTGGTTGGCTGTTTCCCATTGTTCGGCCTACACGGGGGGCGGTGCTTTTACGAGGGAATCGTCATCTGGGATTGTCTTTTTTTTTTTTTTTTTGTAGATAAGGTGTTTTTTGCTTCAGATTTGGATATGGTTGAATTTGTTCTCTGGTATTCATTTATGTTGAGAATGGCCTGGCTCATCGTTCAACCATCTCACAGTTCCCGTGTCTTGAATCCTGACTGGTTTGTCTCGTCGTTTCGCCTGTGCTGTCGGGGGCGGTGTCTGCATGTGGGACTTGTCATCTAGGATGTGTTTGCCCCCTGTTCTGTAACGTTTGGCTGTTCCCTTCCTCTTTTCTTTGCCTCTTCGCCTTTTGGCTGTGTGCAAGCGGGTCGATATGACACACGGGGGTGGGGGGAGCCGCTGCTCAACCTGCATCCACGTGGGCTGCCTTGTACGCAAGAGGTTTTGAACAGGGGGAGTTGTAACGAAGAAGATGAAAAATGAATTGATATCTTTTGGTTTCCTTTGTTTGTTTTTTTCGCTTTTGCGCTCTGATATCTATGTGACGATATATATATATATTTGTTTGTGACGATATATATATGTATATATATACAGCTGATTGTCTGCAGTGACGCATTCATTATTGGAAAAGTAAGTCTCTCTCTCTCTCTCTCTCTCTCTCTCTCTCTCTCTCTCTCTCTCTCTCTCTCTCTCTCTCTCTCTCTCTCTCTCTCACCCAACAATTCGCACCATTATGAACGGCTTCCTCACAAACCCGTGGCCAGCACAACGACTACTTCATCGTATCTCGACGCTGCTTTGCAAGGAGTGATCTTTACTCTTCGCGAGAAAGACACTGAGCTCTATCAACAGGTTGGTGTTCAACGGTGCTGGATTGCTCAGAGTGTCGATGAAGTGGCGATTGACCTGAAAAACAATGCATCGTCTCTTCGTGGCCTCTCTCCTCGCACTATTGATTTTACCACAATGTACACCAACCTTCCTCGCGACCGCATTCTGAATAATGTGGCAAAAATTGTTGATGAAACTCATGCTTATGCCCTTCGGCAAGCTCGCACGCATTCACGCTGCGTTGCCCTCAACATGGTTATTCAAGGACCTAGTTGTGGCCAATGGACAACTGATTCAGGCCCGGATACCCTTTCTGTTTCTCAGATTCTCCAGCATCTTCGCTTTGTTGTACAAAACACTTTTCTATACACGAGAGATGGCACGCTTCAGAAACAAATTATCGGTATTCCAATGGGAACGAATGCTGGTCCAGAAATTTCTAATATGACGCTGTACTGGGATGAAGCACGCTTTGTTGATGACATTTGTCAACATGATCTTCAAGCTGCTCAACAATATGCCTTCACCTATCGCCTCATTGGTGATGTTCTTTCATGGGGACAATTACCTCCTCCACCAGAACAGTATGGGCTTGAGTGGAAGGAGACTACAGCTACAAATGGCTCCTGTACCTTTTTAGGTATGCATCTACGGGTCCGTTCGGATGGCTCGCTTCGCATGAGCGTCTTTGATAAAGCGGCTGCTCGAGACTTTCCTGTCATTCGTTATCCAAGTGCGACCTCCAACATCCGTTCCCATAAACCGGGTGGTGTGTTCACTGGGCAATTGACCAGATTTGAACAAATTTGTAACAATTGGCAGAACTTTCGAATTGCGGCAACAACACTTACTCGTCATGTGTTCTCGCGTGGGCATTCCCCATCAACTTTTGCTAAGAGGTGGACCTGCTACATGCGCTCCCGCCAACGTCGCTATCCTACACATGTGACACGTCTCTCTCAATGGTTCCGACGCATGTTGCAATGGTCCTTGTATCATCCAATTTCTTCTTCGCCCCCACAATGCTCTCGTCCTGCCTCCGCTTACTCATCTGCTGCTACCGCAGTTTCCACTCCTGCAGTTCCCACTGCTGGAGTCGCCACTTCTGCAGTTTTCACTGCTGCAGTGTCCACTGTTGCGGTTTCCATTGCAGCAGTGTCCACTGCTCCAGTTTCCATTGCTGCAGTGTCCACTATTGCGGTTTCCATTGCTGCAGTGTCCACTGCTGCAGTTTCCATTGCTCCCGTTTCTAGTGCTCCAGTTTCTGCTGCTGCAGTTTCTACTGTTGCGGTTTCCACTCCTGCAATTTTCAGTACAGCAGTTTCCCTGATTGTAATTGCCCCTACTTGAGTTTTTACTTCTATAGCTTCCTGTCCTGCAGCTCCAATGCAAAGAACATCACAATCTCTCTGATGCTCACGTCCTTTGCTCCGAAATCTTGCCCAATGCACCCCCCTCTCATCTTTGTTTGTGCTTGGCCGTAGACGACTGGGTTCCTCCTCACCACCCCCATCTCCTCCACGGTCTCGCTTGCGAACAGACTCTCCAGTTTCCATTGCTCCCATTGTTCCACCTGCGTTGCTAGATACAAGTTCAGCTTCTGTTTGCAACACCACTACTCCTCTTGTTGTGTATCACTGACGACATCCGCGACATCGTCACTTGTCCGGAGATCAGCAACCTGTTTCTTTGTCTGCCCCGATTCTCTCCGTGCCTCCTCCACAGGTTGTTGCGGTTCCTTTGTTTCAAACGGCAATATCCGCTCCTATGCCTCCTGCAGACAGTCCAGCTGCCTGCAGGCAGCCACCAATCCCTACTCAGGATGCAGCCGCTGCCCAGAGTACACTCCCGACTCCAAGTACAGTCCCTACTCAGGATGCAGCCGCTGCCCAGAGTACACTCCCGACTCCAGGTACAGTCCCTACTCAGGATGCAGCCGCTGCCCAGAGTACACTCCCGACTCCAGGTACAGTCCCTACTCAGGATGCAGCCCTAAACGTTGAGGGATTGGAACATTATACCCGGATCGCAGTTGACCCCACAAGGCGTAGACCACATGGGGGATTTGCAAATGGCTGATCAGCATTGTTTGGATGAACCACAATTTTGTGCTCCGCCACACGCAGACCACATGGGTGATCTGCAAATGACTGACCAACAAGCAACCCTACACAGTTTGGGCTTGCAACACCATCTGGGTGATCTGCAAATTGTTGGCCAACATCCAACAAACCAGCCTGAGAACCTTACAAATCTCTGTGGTCTGACAACAACTAATATCTGTCTTCACATTCTCCATTGCCCGTTTTATACACCATCAGACTTCCTTGCAATCGCCCTTCAGCTTGATGCTGATCTTCCCCAATGACAACCAGAGGATTGTAATTACACCAGCGAAGGAGGCTTTACCATTGCTGTCCTACAAGTAGCAATGAGGACCGACAACTTGAGCTACGCAATGCTCGAGCAGGTGAGTGGTTTAATCCTCCATCCCACATCTCTGCCTGCATTGTGCACGGCCCTGGCCATTACATGGCCATTGTACATGCCTCTGACCACTGGGAGCTGTGGGACAACGACACCATGGTCCATGCCATGATTGATGTCACTGATTTCTTACAAAATGATGTTGTTTTCTTGCCACAACAAACCGTTTGCAATCTCTTTTATGTCAAAGATCATTCCTTTGGCCCCGTGCCGAAGCAAGACAATGTACCAACACTCTGAGACCTTCTCCTTTGCATAACCACAAACACTGTTACGCTCGGCTGTAGCCGCCATTGTCTCTGTCACAATCACTACAATGACATGGTTTCGGCATCCATGTGTGCAGAGGACTGTCCCATCGTTCCTGACTGCAGGCACCCTCCGCATCCGGACACTATATGTCCATTTTGCGGCCATGGGCGCTCTACTGAATGCATGCTCTTTTGTGGTGACCGTTCTTTTTTCGTTTTGGCCTGCAATTGACATGCCATTTGTCGGGGGTGTATGGCCGGCATGCTCAATGTCACCCGTCGTGGCAATTGTTGCACTGAGAATGCTCAGCTAGGTCTTCCATGTGTTCATCCACGTCATCCTTACAATGTATGTCCTCTCTATCGCCAAGGACAGACTCATTCTTGAGCCTTTTCTTATCCTCTTTTGCCTTCATCTTCACTCCACACTCCATACTTTCCCTTACTTTCCCTTTATCGTTCCTTGTTTGTCTGCTCTCCATCTCTCCTCCCTGTGTTTATCCCCTCCCCCTTCGCTCTGCCTCTTTCTCACAGCGTACAAGTGGGCTGTTATGGCACACGCAGATGGGGCCAGCTCGCGCTCAACTTCATCAACGTGGCGAGCCTTGTACGTGAGAGGCACGGCTAAAGGGGAGTCAAATGAAGAATGAGTAAAGTGAATGGTTTCACTGTGCCCTTCATGTTTGTCTTGTTTCTTTTGATTTTTTATTTTTGCCGTTTGTTTCGCAAATTGCTCTCTTTTAGTTCATAGTATATGTGATGACGCCAATAGACAGACTGAGAGCACTGCTGATTTCTGAGTTCTGTCGCTGGAATGGATGCCTTGCTGAGATTCCCGCATTCTGCTGAGTTTTCTAAGTCTGTGTGTGTGTGTGCGTGCTTGATGGTCTGCGTGCCTGTCTGAGGGCTTGTCGGCGTGAGTGTGTGTGTGACCCACAAGGGTACTTGCTTCCTTAGGAGGCCCTGTAGGGCCGGTGCTTACCTGTGGCTGTGACTTTGAGGGTTGCAGTGGGGAAACACTCAAGTAGCAGGAGTAGGCCCACGACACTTAGAGCACTAGGGAAAAATAGGCCGGTACCACTCAAGCAGCGGAAGATGTGTTGGGGACTGGAGGCCAAGCAGAGGAAGACAAAAGTTGGCATTTTTAGAGGCCTAGCAGCTGGTACGCTAGGCTAGGTCTAGACTGGTACCACTCCAAATAGCCTGAGTCTAGGGCCTGTGCGAACGATATCAAACCCTGCAATGATGTTTCCCTTTGAAAGGGAGGAGGTACCGGTTCCTTGGAGACGCACGGCCTGGAAATCCAGCTTAGTTCAAACCTCAAACCCCAAACCCCAAACCGCACGTCATGTGCATCTTAGTTCATGGTTGGTCATGTTCGTGCACTAAACAGGGTGAACAACTCATGATCACGTTCATGACCATGGGCATGCTCGACTCCCACAATTTTGGGCAGAGCATGATGCCCATTATCTCTTTTTATTAGGCTTACTATAGTGGGATTTTAGCCTCACAATTTCCCAAAGCTTGCTCCAGGTTCCCAAAGCTATGACTGGGCTACCTGTTTTTAATTTATCACAACTGGGCTACCTGTTTTTAATTTATCACAACTGGGCTACCTGTTTTAAATTTATCACAAGCTAATGTATAAGTAAGTCTAGTGATGGTATCATGCACCATTTTAGTTACTTTTTGTGAATTCGCATTGCTCCATTGCCAGCGAGTTTCTTTCGCCGTAGTCTCATATGTCCATGTGTCAAATTAGTTGTCCCAATTGGATGAGCTGGATGCTTTAAGCCACATAGGGCATGGGATTGACGCTGGCTAGGGTTTGATTGAATTGAAAGCCTATCGGAATTGGGTGTGATTGTGCCAGCGATGTTCCGGTAAGAATTTTGCATGCTCGTTCGTGCGAGGCGGAACTTGGCTGTACCTGGTTGCACCGCCGAGCTGGACTGCAGGCTGTGCATGGGTCCAGCCTGCTCCCCGGCAGGGGTCTCAGTAGGACACCTTTACACTAGGCCCACCTTTTGCTTCTGTAGTTATGGAATAGAACAAAAAGACTACCAAAGGGAGGAGGACATAAAAAAGCTGGTCCGAAGCCAGTTAGTATATGCCATGTGGTCAGGTGCTCATGCCGCGTGCAAGTGCTCTAGGCTTTTTTTTTTTTTTTTTTTTTTTTTTTT